GTTCTCATGAGATGTATTCACTAACACAAGAACAGCATGGGAAAAAACCATCCCCATGATTCCATTACCTCCCACTGGGTCCCTTCCATGATATGTGGGGATTATGGGCACTACCATTCAAGATGAGATTCGGGTGGGGACACAGCCAAACTATGTTACAGACACTGAGCCCCATGATGCTATGAACACAGGGATGAATAATGTATGACCCCAACACTGACTTTGCTCATGGTCTGGAGGAAGAGGAAGTAAATAAGCAAGTGCCTAAGAACATGGCAGTAGCTAGTGATCTCAGGCAGGTTGGAATCATGGTTGGGAGTGAAGGGCAGCAGCCACACTGCAGGAACTTGAGGAGCAAGCAAAAGTTGGAGTTAGGAGATAGCAAATATAGCACACTCTTAAGAAACTAAAATGGAGAAAGAAGGAAGGAGAAGGAGAGGGAGATCCAGAGTTATCAGAGGCATTTGTGTGTGTGTGTGTGTGTGTGTGTGTGTGTGTGTGTGTGTGTGTATTTGTCTGGGGCCATATTTATAACCTGAAAAAAACAACTAGTAAACAGGGAGTAATTAAATATCAACATGACAAGGGCAGCCATTGTGCAAGTCCAGTTGTCAGAGTTGACTGATAGGTGTGTAGATAGCTCCCCTGACATTTACATCGGGGTGGAAAGCCACAGTGGACATTAGGACAAAGGGGCAGTTCCAGAAGTTCCTATTCTAGGGATACAGCCAGACCCTCAGCACCTCCATGGGGGATGGATGTTATTCAGAGCCCTGAAGTCACCCATGAAGACAGCAGGAACCTCCCGAACTCTTCTTCTTTGGGGTAGAGGGCCTGAGTGAAACACTGACAAACCACAGCCAAATTTATTTCTTGCTTTGTTTTTTTGGTGGTGTTGCTTTTCCTTGGGAACTGGCACATTTTGCATTGAGGTTTACACAAAGCAAAACAGCTCCAGTGTCAAATGGAAATCCAGCAGGCTCTTCCCAAGATGTACTGTTCCTTTGTACAGGCTGCCGACTTGGGAGAGGGGCCCAGGACATAATGCCTGTGCCTCTTGGGAAGCATATACAGACAATGGTCTGTGTGTGAAAAGGGGAACAGATTAACCAGGACTGGGGTATCTCCCAATTGCTTTTCTTAAAGAAAGACTCTATTGCCAGGAAGCAAAGCACACACAAAAACAATACCTAAGCTAACAGAGTACTGGCTTTAATATACTCAGAAATAACAGAACACGGGCAGGCTACAACTTTCCAAATCCCCTTGAAAATCCTTTGCCAGAGCAGAGATGGTTTGTCAAATCTATACTCTTTGTTTAATATGTTTGTTCTTTTGTTTGATCAAGGGGGGAAGCCGTCTAACTCATTATATTGGGGGAGCTGCATTCATTCCTTTGTGCTTCTTTTTCTTCTTCTAATCTTTATTAAAATCAAAAGAAGAGCCACTCTAATCCTTCAAATGATAATTTATTTCTCAACCTACAAAGTCAGAGTCTTTGCTATTATTTTAAAAACAAATCAATGCAACAATTTTAATTAAAAATGAAACAGGGTTAACCTAAAAAAATAAATAGGCATTTGTTAGATCAACGAGCAAACTTGTTTACAATTAATGGGCAACAGGGCTCCTGGTGATAAAGAAAGGGTTTTAAAGCACCAGAATGTTTCACTGCAGTTGGTAATTTCTCTGGACTTTCATTTGAGTCTTTAGAGAGAAAAACACATCTAGAAGTCTCCTAATGAAATGTCCTGACCCTGGGAAATTTATGCTTCAAAATGTGCTCTACCCATCCCCCCAACTGCCCCCCACTCCCATCTCTGCCAGCCACTTCCTTGGCTAGAATACTCAGTGGGTTCTATTTTAGCTGGGGTTATTCATCTCAGATAGGAGAGTAGATTTGGCATTCTCGCAAGGGAAAAAAAAAGGCTCTGTATTAATTAAGGAGACATGAATTGGCCTGCTCGTTGGTGGGTGGGGCTGGTGGAGTGGACTGATGATCTTTAGGAAGGCTCAGGTTTCTCAAGCAGGAGAGAAAACCACACGTATTAGGAAGTGGACATTCTCCCAAATACCACTGAGAGAAAAAAAAAAGTGATTTCCTTAAAGGAAAGCTAATGGAAAATGAACTTGAATATGTAAATTTATTCAGTGTGTATTTTTTATTGAGAAGCTACTGAGTTCCAGCAATGGCATTTAGGATTGAATTTCAAGACATGATCTTTCAGTTGGTTTACCATGGTCCAGCAGTCTCCCAGCTCTCTCTCTGTGGCAAGCCTGAAAAGAGGAGTCACAGAATCTAAGTTTATGGTTCAGTGGAGGAGACAAAGCATGTGATGAAGGCTGTGGCAGACATGGATGCTAAGTGCTGTGGGAGGGGACATGGAGGGAGAGAGAACCTCCTTTGGAGTCACCTGTACTTCTGGACTAAGGCAGGGAAAGTTGTAGGGAAGAGGTACATTTCAGATGGGCTCTGAAGAATAAGTAAGACTTAGGCAAGTGGATAAGGATGAAGAAGAGCATTCATGGCAGACCAATATGAGCAGGCTCAAGTACTGTTAAGAATGTAAGAATGTAGAGGAGTGGAGGGATGAGGGGCAGATGGTTATAATGTTTGTTTGTTTGTTTTTTCCCTCATAAACTCCTATTCCTCCTTCCAATGTTAACTTAAGCTTTATCTCTGAGAAGCCTTCCCTAAGCTCCCCATCTTGGTTCTGGAGACTCCCTGCACAGTACAGTGTGTCACTTGTTGACTCCCCTACTAAACTGTGCCCCTTAACCTGCTCAGTCTCTCTTCCCTTCATACCCAGCACCACAGTGCCTTGAGAAGTGGACTGAGCAGGAGGCCAGGGTCAGATGCTCAGATTTTCAGGGCCAGGGTAGAATGAGATATAACACCTGTGTTAATGCTGGAGCAAAAAATGCAACTGAAGTAGGTTTGTGTCTAAACTCCTTATGTGGCCCTGCACACTGTGATTGGTTGCCCAGGTACCCCTTCAGGAATCAAGAATTTGTCACTGCCTGGAAGGATTTCTGTGGGAAGATAGCCCTCAACTGTTAGCCCCTGCAGGGTCTCAGCTGAAGAGATGACCTGACCCAAGTTCACACACTCTTTCAGAGCCATCTGCATCTGGTGACTGATTGTCAGGGTGTTTATATGCTCAAGCTTCTCAACCTAACATTCGACAGCTCTCAAAAGCCATCATCCCATCTTCACAACTTCCTGTGGGACATTGTGAACTCCTGTGCATCAAGACTACACCACACCTTGACTTCTCTCTCTGCCCAATAGATCCTGCTTTCTTCTCTTCCCTTCCAAGGTCTTAATCCTAAGAGCCCTCCCTAGCAGATTTTCTCCATGCTACTCTCTATATCAGGATCTGCTTCTGAGACAATCCAACCTATTATAGCCTCTTGAGGGTCCAGCCTCAGGGAACCCAGGGTTGACCCATCACAGTCACACTTAGGATACCTGGTAGGTTTGTTTTTTGTAAAAGCAGATCATTTGAGAGGAATTGTAAACAATTAATAAGTCTTGTGAACATGACTATGTTAACAAATCATCAGAAAAAGAATTAGCAAATTGAGAAAAATAGCATCCAGGTCTGGTAATTTCGTAAGTGTTCTATTCTGGAGACAATAAAAATTAGTATAGATCTTCTAAAAAGCAATATGATAACGTATCAAGAATTATAAATCATTCCAAATATGGAATTTATCCTGAAGAGATCATTAAAAAGAATAAAATGAATCTATACAGGATAATGTTCTTTGTAGCATTAACTCGAAGGAGAAAAAAAAATGTGAAAAACCCTAGCTATGCAACATTAGGGACAATAATACTATGGAACGATCTGCAGTGATAACTATGAAGACTAAATGAAAAGCACAAAGCACTTATGATGTAAGTATAGGGGAAAGAAGCAAACATTTTAAAAGTTCATTATGACTACCTAAAGTCTAAGTGGATTCAGATAAAGTAAATAAAAGGAGATGACACAAAATCATTTTGAATGATTTGTTTTCTTTTTCCAAATTTTAGTGTCATTACATTCTTCCCTTTAAAAAATTTAACTAACAGATTATTTGCATGATTTGACATCTAGTCTTCTTGCATGAGCAAAAGGGAGAGTAAATATGAAAGAACAGAAAACCAGACCTCAATAATATGAGCCTAGAATGTGATATGACCTTTCCCTGCCTGCAACTTTCTGAAAGAGATCAAGGTCTTGAAGTGGATGGATATAATTTGACAGCTGCTCTTTGAGCCTGACTTCAAGAAAAGAATGAAGTCATAATTCTCAAGGGGTATCCATGGTGTTTTTAAAAAATTATTTAATTAATTTATTTATTCATTTTTTGAGACAGAGTCTCGCTCTGTCACCAGGCTAGAGTGCAGTGGCGTGACCTCAGCTCACTGCAACCTCCACCTCCCCGGTTCAAGTGATTCTCCTGCCTCAACCTCCTGAGTAGCTGGAACTACTGGCCACCATGCCCAGCTAATTTTTGTATTTTTACTAGAGACGGAGTTTCACCATGTTGGTCAGGATGGTCTCCATCTCTTGACTTTGTGATCCACCCACCTCGGCCTCCAAAAGTGCTGGGATTACAGGACTGAGCCACCGTGCCCAGCCTCTGTGGTTTAATTAAAAGAAGTTCGGGTTTTCAGTCTACTGGGACCAAAGAAAATTACTCTTCCACATACCATCTCCTGAATGCACATTTAGTCAATCCCCTTTATAGCAGAAGAGACATCTCCAGCCTTCTTAAGAGAACCCCTTCAGGAATCCCTTCATTCCATGATTCTTGGACTCCTGATTCTACCTTGCATCATGGTACCTGGACTGTATGACCTTGTTTCCTGGACTCTCCTTTAGATATGATACCCCGAGTAACAACATGTGTTACTATCACAGCTTCCAGTTATTTGGTATTTCTCTGTGTTGAGCACTGTGCTTAGCTTCTTATCTATATTTTCTTATGTAGTCCTTATAACAACCCTATGACTGACTATTATTATTCCCACTTGGAAGATGAAGACACTGAGGTTCCAGGAAATGAAAAATTCAGTGCAAAATCATAAGACCAGAAGTGTTCAAGAACAAGATTCAAACCAGGTTTGTAACCAACAAAAACTGTCTCAGTCACCATGCCTGGAGATCATGATTCCACAAAAGTCAACATTCTGCTCTTTCCACTGAGGAACATTTCGGAAAATTCCCTTCTGTCATTTGCCTTAAAAACTCCATAATTCTTGGGAGACACAACTGTTGCTTTGCAAAGCAGTTCTATTAAATATGCATTAGACTGCTTAGCTTGTCCTGAAAATGAGTTAGTCACCTTTCTCTTTTTTTCCTCACTCTGCATCTTTTTATACAAGGAACTTGTTGACCCTGCCCTGGTATGTGCACGATAGAGGGCAGGAAAGAGAACAAGCAGAAAAGGGAAAGAAATATGTGGGGATGAATCTAGCTCATGTCCAGAGACTTAAATGGGAATGCCCTGTGGAAATGAACTGTGAAGGCCTGGCCAACAGGGCTGTCTGTCTAGTACCTTCTGCCTTCTGTGTAGCTTCACAAAATAATTATCATAGGTTAATCAGGTCAGCAAACTTGCCGGGCACTGACAAGCCGGGCAGTCTCAGGTGTGCTCTCAGTGGACAACCATGAGGGCTCTCTGGCTGCTCAGATGAGCAAGTCAGCTGGGAACAACTGATCTGCTGAGAAATCTGATGGCTGCCCCATAAGGGGAACCAGGTCGCTAGGATCGCTGGGTGAAGGCTGCTCACCCTTCAAATAGTCTAACCCTCTGTGATCAGGCTGTTTTAATCCCCACATCTCCAGACTCTCACAAATCTGGAACTGGTTTTTAGTCTAAGGTCCTGGCAGGGATAATGTGTTTAATTGGCTTTAAGGCAGAAAACACAAAGCACACGACATGTAGCAAAGTTAGTATTGTAATTACAGAAAGTCCGATGCCCTTCAGAAAGGTTACATGGGGGTATGTCCCCAAGATGGATTGTTTTTTGTTCTGTTTTGGGTGGTTTGTTTTTTGTTTTTGTTTCATAGTGTTTTTATCTACTGCATAGAATTTGGGGGAAAAAACCCAGGATTTTAAATGTGGACAGGAATTTAAATCCTTGGTGGGCACATAGCAGCTATGGTACCATGGGCATGATACCTAACCTCTGTAAGGTACAATGGGGATAATTATATTCACCTCTTAGGGAGGTCATGAAAATAAGTTGAGATAAAACATATGAAAGCACCCAGCACTGGCATGCTCAGTCCATATTAGTTTCTCATTCTCTTCATTATTTTCATTATCATCATTATCACATTCTCACCTTTTTTCATCATTGTCAGTAGCAGTCGCATCAACCCAGTGTCCTGACTTTCAAGACAACCATGAAAACGCCCCAACTGCTGCTAAATTACCAGCAACAAGGATCTGGTGAGTAAGTTATTTTGGGGAAGTCAGGTCTTGTCAGCGTGCGTCGAGTTTCTTGCAGTCCTGTGTGTCAGTCTTTCTTAAACCCCTCAGATACCCAGAACCTCTCTGTCTACTAAAAAGAACTGAACTATTAATGTCCCTCATAGAAGAAGAAAGGGAAACCGGCTCCTGTAAATGTGGGTCAGGAATCACCAGGGAGGTAATGACTTGGTCTGCTCTGTGTTCTCTGGCCCTCCTTGGTCCTTCCATGAAAGCCCTCTGTCAGGAGCCCTGCGTGGCCATGGAGTGATTGCCCTTTTGTTCTACAAATTCCTGGATATGACTCACAGAACCGTTTAAGCACGTCTCTCTTCATGTTCCTAGGAATTTTCTTGACAAGAGCAGTGCCTATCCTGAGGCAATCGTATTTCTCCTTGACTTCTCTCCAGTATCAGCTTGTTGCTTGACACCACTGCACAGCCAACTGTATAATGTGGGTGAGTATAGCTGCATTTTCCTCAGACACAAGCCTGGCTGCCCACTGCTAAGGTGACATCAGGCCAGGCCACAGTGTATCATTTATCCTCCATGCCTTCCTCTCCAGCCCTGAGTGAGGTGGAGTCCTTGAAACTATCACCATCCAGTGGAAATCAGTGCTGCACTTTCAGGAGGTTAAGCATGAAAAGAGCATAAAAGGTGTTATTACCCCGTGTCTCAGTAATTCCTCTTCTGAAAACCTTTTCTAAGGAAATGATGTGAAAGGATTCGGTCATAGTGGCTGGTAGTTACTGAGCACTCACCATGTGCTGACACTGTTATAATTGCCGGGTATATATTGACTTATTTAATCATCATAACAACTCCAGGAGGAAACAGTCAGGTTATCCCCATTTTTCAGATGAGGAAACCAAAGAACAGTGAGACAATTGTATCTATATTCATGCTGCTTAAGTGTGTAAGAGCTGAGAGTGAGCCCAGGTGGTCTGATTTCACAGTCCTCACTCTTGATTTCTATACTAGTGTGGCCTCTATGCACAAAGTTTGATATAAATAGAAGAGGAAGAAGAAAAAGAATGAGGAGGGATGGGAGAGAAGGATGAAGGGGAGAGGGAGAACAAAAGGAAGGAGAAGAATAGGACAGGGAGGAAGATTTAGAATAAAAGTTAAATTTATTGTTTATGATCGTGAAAATCTGGGCTAGGGCCATTTGGGCCGAGTATGCTGGCATTCCAGGTACCCAGGGTATTCTGAAGAAAGAGAGGTCTGTGGGTTCTATGCACAGCTGCCTTGTCACCCACTGGGGAGGAGCACAGTACTGAGAGTGGGGCTTACATTTACAAAGTTGGTATGAAAATTAATAGGCATCTACATTCCTAGAGGTCAATAAATAGAGTGAGAGTTGTTTGTTTGCTTGCATATTGGAATGGAGAAAAATATGTCCAGTCCTAATAAACTTTAAAGTATTTCTGCTCTTCCCTTCTTCCTAAACACTTTCATCCGTCCACATTACTATGGGAATTTTTTGATGCTGTCAAATGAGTCACTTATAATGGGAATTTTTAAAATAATTATGTTGCTATGTCAAAAAATTTGGAAATTAAAAGATGTTGTTTTACATTCTTGGCACAAAATGCCCCAGGTTCAACCGTCTCAAAAAATATGAGGCACATCTACCTAATAACAAAAAGTTTTCAGAATGGTTATCCTAGTGATTCTCTTTCTGAAAATTTACTATAGTGAACTAATTGACAAGGGGAAAACAATTTTTCACAGGAAGATAATCCAATATCACTTATAACAATAAATATTAGAAATACCTCAAATGTCCAATAGGGAAATAGTTAAGTATCTTAGGGATATCCCCTCCGTGGAATAGTATGCAGTCATTGGCAATAATAATTTCAAAGACAAAATGTGGCAAATTGAGAAAATGGTTGAAAGTAAAACACACACACAAAAATTATATAGATATTATTACCATCAAATGATATACATTTTTGCTTATAGACAGAGATATATTTTTTGTATGTAGACAGAGACTGAAAGGCTGCACAGAAATTAAGTCAGATTAAAGATGATGGGATTCAAGATAGTTTTGGTTTTATATGCTTGTTTCCACATTAAATATTACAAATTTACAGATCCAATGGTAAAAGGACAAAGCATTGTAGTGGGTGCAGTGCAAGAGGAAATCTTGGGACAAGCAAGAAGATAGACAGGAAGCTATTGCCCTAATCCAGGTAGGAGATCCTGGTAGTGAAGGTGAACAGTGATAGTAAGGGGAGGATTCTAGAGATAAGTTATAGTCAGTGAGAGTGAGAGGGAATCGCTGATATTCCAAAGTTTGTGACTTGAGCCTAACAATAGAGAATAACAGTAGAGGAACAGGACTAGGGAGAATTTAGGAACGTTATATGTGGAGACATTCTTTAAGTGATATCCAGTTGGAAGTTGGAATACTGTTTTGGAGCTCACAGCAACGTGTGACTCTGGTCCCCCAGTGTCTATATGTGCGGAGGATGGTTTTGTATCCAAATAGACATCTGAGCTCAAGGTAATTCTTAATATACAAAATATAGGACTCAGGCCACCATATTACAGGTCAAGACTCATCTTAGTGATTGCCAAACTTAGAGTTCTGTATTTGTTTTCTTTTGCCACATATTACTCCAAAACTTAGAAGCTTAAGCATTTGCAATCTCACAATTTCTGTGGGTCAGGAATCCAGGTGGAGCTTAGCTGTTTGTCTCTAACTAAGAATCTCTCAAAAGGGTATAGTCAGGGTGTGAGATAGCGCTGCAGTCATCTCAAGAGTAATCTTGGAGAGGATCTATTTCCAAGCTTCCTCATGTGGCTGTTGGCAGGCTCATGTCCTCACTGACTGTTTGCCAGTGACATCAGCTCCTTACCATTTGGACCTCTCCCTTGAACAGTTTGAAACATGGCAGCTGGCTTCCTTCAGAGAGAGAAAGAGAAAGGGAGAGAAGGAGAGGGAGAGAGAGAACCCAAGACAGAAGTCACAGACTTTTTATAACCGAATATCAGAAATGACATTCCAGTACTTGTGCTATTATTTTACTTGTTACAAGGGAAATGATAAGTCTTTCACGTTGAAAGACAGAGAATCACAGATGGGGAGGAGCAGCAGGGGGTGGGGATTATTGGGGGCTATCTTAGAGGCCTCCTACCACCAGTTTTGTGGAGGTAAATTGAAGTTGTTCCACACCATTACCACCAGCACCATCACTGCCATCTTTGCCATATTCACTCACTACTTACTCTTTTGAAAAATATGGAGAAGTTGATTTTTGCAGAACTGCATAAAGTTAGCCTTCAAAGATCTCTTCAAAGCTATCCAGCTCAGAAACAGTAAATGCAGTGCAGCAAGCATGTTGCCATTCTCCCCTTTCATGCTGCTGTCAGACATAACTAATCATCCAATTCCCCCTCCCATATCCATGCTAGGCATAACTAATCATTTAAGGCCTTGAATGTTGTGAGCATGCCCAAAGGCTTGAAGTAAGTAGCAAAACTGATATTTGAATTCTGATCTGATGCCAGTGTCAGTTCTGTTCCTATTACTCACCGTCTACCTTTCAGCTCCACTCCTGGCAAGTTATTTTACAGCTTCATTTCCTATGCAGTGTGACTTAACAATTCTAATATTAGGGTGGTTGTGTGGTGAGTGTATATGTGTATACCCACTGGCATATTCTGTGGATTAGAATTGGCAAAACAGTAATCCAGATCACAAGATCACACATGTACACACACATACATATAGATGTACATTTGTATATATTTTTCTTTTTCCAGAAAGTGATTATGCCATTCTCATCCAATCTAGTCAACCCACACCAGTGTGAACACTAGCGAATTGTTCTTGCCAGTAGTGGAATGTGCAATGTGCCCAAGGAGATTGTCTAAATTTTAAAGGACAGAGACCAAAACAAAGTGTTCACTGCCTATATCCCACTTACTTAGAATAGGGTCTACCATGCAACGTGCCATAAACATTTGATGAATTAGTATGTGAATGATTACAGGAATGAAATCAGCTATTTTTCTACCATTAGTCATTCAGGCACCACTTCACAGGTTTTGCCATACACCTGTGTTTTTTGAACTGAATATTTCTCTTTAAATCTATTCATTTTAAACCTAAATAATTTTTAAACAGAACCTGTAACTTGCTATCATCAATCAAAAAAGAGTTATTTTTAAATGACATAGTATATCTATTTTACAACATCCACAAATCACCTAGAAATCATCTTGTATAACACTAGAGGTGAGTGTACTGCACTAAACAAATGGATGTAAATTCCATAGCATGTGTCCATGTTTGGAGTCTCAGAGATGGCTCAAGAAGGCCTTTAAAGAGCCGTTGGCAGTGCCTGCCAGGAGCCTGGCAAGAGTAATTGCTCTCTTTAACCCTGGGAGAGATTATTTTAAAGTCTGTGAAATATCAGTGGAATTGGAAGAGGCGCAGTCAAGGCAGTGGCAGATGAGAATCCATTAAAACATTCTGTAGGGAGGCTGTTCTCACTTCCTGCCAGGATGCTAGTCACATTCACTCATTCACTCATTCATCCAGTACCTTTTCAGATACTACCATGAGCCTAGTCTTGAACTAGGTTCCATGAAGACCAAAAGGAATAAGGCCCAATGCTTGTCCATCAAGAGCTCAAGCTAGAAGAGAAGTGAGAAGTACAAAACAAACAAAAACCCTTCATACTTTTATAAATTAGTTAATAGGGTCATGCATAAGATGTTTAAAATACTGAGAAAGCAAATGCCACTGCCTCAGAGGATACAGAGAAGAGGTAACACCTGTTCCTCGTTACAAAGAACAGGTATGTAAGGGCGCTCAGAGCAGAACACAGAATGGGTAAAGGCCTTGGAGGTGAAAGACAATGAGCATGACATGTGTGGCTGAAGCATTAAGAACCACTAGGCAATAGCAGTGGGTGTACCAAAGGAAGTGGAAGGGGTAGAGGTTAACTGTGAGAGTATGGGTTATGAGAGCTGCTTAGCTAGGTGCATGAGTCTGGAATTTATCCTGAGGGCAAAGGAGGTCATGAAGGATTTTAAGCAGAGGAATAAAGCAGCCAGTCATATATTTTAGAAATGTCCCTCCAGCTGATGTCAGTAGTATAGACAGGGGATGTAAACTCAGTTTTCTCATCTGTGCAATGGTCTTTGTAATTTACTTCAGAGGGATCACAGGAGAATTAACACCTCTGAGTGAAGCACTTTGATTTCCACAGAGAAAAAGCCAAATATATCTATTAAGTTAAAATACGATCATCCTTGAGTTTCCGTAATCTTTTTTCTGACCTATCTTGCCCATATAAGCATACTGCACCAGGAAAGAGTTTGTGAAAAGAATTCAAAAGAATATAATCCTAATACACAAATTGTGCTATTGTTTATAACTAATAACAGTTAATGTGAGTAGAAAACAAGAAGAGTGCCATACACAGAGCAATTAGCT